AAAAAAGGAAACGGCATGGTACAGCTGGTGCAGCTGGGAATGCTACCCCTACAAAGACCGACCTTCAGCACAAGACATGGAGCACTGCCATGTCCACTCATCGTCAGCCCCATGAGGTCGGCTCCAAAGAGGTTTTGCAGCTGATCCTGTATGGCCAAGACCGGATGTGGTGTAAAAATGAAAGCTGTTTCCTGCTGCCGAAATCCACTCCAGATTGTCCACAGCATCGTTGGCTTTGTCCAGATCTTTGTGGTTCGTTTGATGATAAGAAGGCGGTGGACCAAGAAATGCATAAGTAAGCCACAAGACGATGAGCAAACATAATCTGCCTGCCCAGTGAGGTTAACTTCGTCTCCCGCTCGATCCTTTCGTGCCCTCGGCGAACCAACCCAGTATACCCTTGGACATGCGGCCAAGGGAACTCACCATCTTTCCAGAAACTTGGGCTCGCCACTCCTCTCCTGGCAAAGCAACTTCAGTCAGGTCTGAATACCTGAACTCATAGCCTTTGGCTGCAGAGTTGTTGCGGCAACACGCTGACACAGTATGTTTGTGCAACCCAAGCTGCTCAGCTACCGCTGTGGCAGAAGGGCTTGTTGTCCAGTGCATGGTTCCAACAGGTCTCCACAGTACAGGCTTCCTCTGTGCAGGTCCGCTGTTGCGTCTCAAAGGGTTTGGAGTATCAGTATGAGCCCCGTACAAGTTCGCTTCGAGTTGCATACTCCAGGTTTTGCAAGAGATTGTTATCTCGTTTGCCATCCACATGATGCACCTGCCAGGCGTCCTGAGATTGGGGAAGACCGTGAAAGGTGATCTTGACGATGCGATGAACTGGATCACGCCGTCCCGGATGGCTTTTGTTACGTGCCTATACTCGTCTGGATTGGTCTCTCCCCCCAGGAAACGTCTGGATGTGAGTGCTGCAAAGTCTGCCACACGAGCTCACCCGCCACCCGGCTGAAACTTGGAAGCGGCTGACTGGTTGGTGAAGTATCGCAGTGCACTTCGCCGAGTGCAGCACAGGCCACACCCGATGCTCGCCATGTGGTCGGCCTTGTCCTAGGAGATTGTATATATATATATAATTCAATACCCATGTTTACTACCCATGGTTGCAAAGCTTCAAGACTATTCAAAACTCACACTGCCACATGATCCACATGTTACGTGATTGACAAATCAAACCTGATTGAAACATCCCAAATAATGGATTCCAGGTTCTGTGCAGTCAGCTGTGCACCCCCAATTCTTGTCATTGGTCAGTGAGCTTTGTTGGTCACTTGCTGTTGTACCAAAAGTTCCACATCCCAAAAGCCACACCTTACCACAGCGTGGAGCCCATTCAACCGAAGTCCTTGGTCCTTTCTGGGCAATCCTTGAGTTGGAGAGGATGAATGTAGGTAGTTGGTAAATTTGATTACATTTGCCATACGGACCTCATTGAACTACCACCAGTATTCTTCTCCAAACTGCAACCCAAAGAAAACAAAACAAATGATTGTACATGAATGTCTGCACTTGTGCTCAAAGGATCAAGCAAGGAAAACCTATCTTGTGATGTCAATGAGTTCAACTTTGCATAGCATCTGACCAGCTGTACCTGACGATCAAAAACCTCCCAAATCTTCGGAAAAAGGCCACACTGAAAGCTCTCCGGTGCCCAGGTCATGTCCCGGCCTTTGATGCTGTCCTTCAGAACCGCCACTGCGAAGCGCGCAGCTCCTGCTTGCCCCAAGTGGATGAGGTTGAGGCGGACGGACACAGGCTCTCCTGGACAAGAATGAGAGGGTCGAGTCGAACGTGCAGTCGCGAGATCAAACAGTGTGAAGTCTGCAGCTGGGATGGCCGCGTGAAATCCCCGTTCACGTGTGAAAATGGAGAGAAGCCGATCAAAGCCGTGGGTATGAGTTGACGTCCGCGCAAGCGCGCAAAACACTGGGGTCCATTCATGGGCCCTCGAGGCTGCCAGGCGAAAGCGAGGCTGAAGGTTAAGCTCTCTACCGACTCTACCTGATCAGCTGAGTACGGTGCAGGGCTTTGAATCCATTCAGGAAAAACATAAATTAGGCTCAGCATGGCTCAGCATGGGACGATTGCCTCTAGACCAATGCAGTCTTGACGCCTGCAATCTGCCACTAGCATGGTGTGGTTCCTGCTTCGTGCACTCTGAAAAAAAGACACGTCAAGTGTTGAAGACACTCTGTGTGTTTCCAACGCCAAGTGTTCCTTTCTATCTTTCTTCTACCTGCTACAGGTCGAGAGGGTCAGACAGTTGAGACCCGGGGTCCCGATCATCTCCTGCGCTGATGCTGTGGCTCACCGTCACCGACAGCTCCTAGGAGGGAGCGCCGGTTGCGAAACGGGAGGTCCAGCCAGGTGACCCCGAAGCAGCAAGTAGTTTTGAAGAACTCAATCACTATTGAGATGCCTTTTTCAGAATGTCTTCAAGACCAATGGATGCCACGGCCATGCTCAAATGAAAGCTTTTCCACCCAAGGCACAGCTGATGCGAGTAGGTTTGGGGCTTCCGCAGCGCTGAGATCGAAGCCGGCTGAGAGGGCGTCCACGCGAAGTGAGTCCTTGGATCTATTGAGCTGCAAGCTGGAAGTGGTGCAGTTCAGCAGGGTGGCACATTGGATGTGCTCGATAAACCTGAACAACATGGTCCTGTCAGAAGCCAAAAAACAAAAAATATCAAAAAATTACAGTATAAGTTGTTCGATATAAACGAGATTAAACGAGTATAACATCGTTTGAACTCCAGTGGGCAGCCACAACCCAGTCTTCCAGTTGCTTCGTCAACAAACATAGCAAAGGTTGAGATATGTTGAGATGATCTTGCAAGGCCCCAAGGACTCCTATGAGTTTCTGTGTTTCTTCATGTGGCAATCTAAAAGCACCCCCACAGTTTCGTACCTGGGAATTGGTGGGTGAGACCTCTTGGGATCTCGTCTCAGCGTATGATTCAGCAGTCCTTTCAATGACGTGACGCCTTGAATCCGAAAGGTCCCCCACAGCACAAACTCACAAGCCGAGCCCCAACTCGTGAGGCAAAGCCACAAGTGGTGTGAGATGAGAAGCCCAGTCAACAAAAACATGCTGCATCAAGGTGTCTTTCTGATTTTCATGTGCAAACACAGTCATGTTTGTTCAATGTCTGATATGTTTTGTTGTATCATGGCCCCTTTTCGATTTCCTGAAAACACTCTAACAACCTCAGCGAAAAGACCGTGGCAATAAGTCGCTATATGTCTCAAATTTGACGGGAGGGTATGGACATGTTCTGACCTGGAAGAGTCCTCACGATCCGGTTCATGTCCACCATCGATTTGGTTCCTTTTCGGGGTTGAGTCTTTGCTCTCTTTTGGGCCGACCATGATGTGAAAGCCAAGGCGCAGCCTGCACAGGGCTGGTCAATTGAACCTGGCTGGTCGGCGGAGGAAAGTGGGTCTACGCTCTGTTTTGGGGCCACTGGCAACATCTGTGCTGCAAGCCTTTGGTAGTAAACCCGAAATCAAAAACATCTCCGGTTTCAGATCTGGGCATAAGGTTAGCATCAAGCGAGATGGTAAAGGGATTGAACATGGATCCCGTCAGCTTTTCCATGTCATGCATGGATTTGTCATGGAAATGGGGGAAAACAAAGGACACATTGAAAACATGTCGGTATATTATACATTTCTTCTCATCTCTTCTAACCACAGTATACCGTATACCTTGCATAATGATTCATATTGCGTCGTTCTGAAACAAGATTTCACAGATCCCCCACAACGAAAAGGGCCGTCAGCACAGGACCATTCCAGTGCCCAAGCGAAGTTATGTCTAACTACACGACGTACTGGATCTCCAAATGGTCCAATGCCGACCCCCCTTTCCCTGGAAGAAACGGCATATATATATATAATCAAACCTTTTCCACTTGCTGGAGTTGAGTTATGAAAGCCACTCCTCCGAAGAACAGTCTTGCAGGTAATCCACATGAATCCACTGTAGGAATTGTTCAGGTTCTATCATCCACGTTCTTTTCAGGTGCAAAATGAAGCAGAACAACACCTCCAGGCCTCCAATGTGCTGGAACTGCCACTTGCGAGGTGAGGGCCCAGGAGGATCACTTGGCACCTAGGACGATAAAATGAGCTTGCGAGCTCCATAGGCGGCAGAATGAAGAGATGAAGGGGATTGCTTGGTCTGGTGTCGAGCTACAGAATCTGGGCCGTGAGCTCCTACCCCCCCGCCCGTGGATCGAAAAGGCGAAGAGAGAGAGCAGGGCCTGGCCCTCCAAGGGTCTTTGCAGAATCTGTGCAGGCCCTCCAGGGATCTCGTAGAACTTGGATGAACTTGGTAGGGTTGCGCAGTGAAAACCAGTTGGGTCCCCCAATGAATTTGTGCCAGAACTCAAATTGGTGTTCAACCCGCCAAGGGCCATCGTTTTCGACGGATCGTCGAATGTTTTCAACCGACATCGCGACATCAGGGACCTTTTTTGAAATTACAAGGCAGAAAAAGGATGTTGCTTGAAACAAGGGTGTGTCTGTGTGTGTGCTTCGTTTCAACTGCACTCCGACGTCAGATCGCATGAAAGTGGAGTGAAAACCACCTGTTTGGTATTCGGAAAATTATCATCCGAAATCGGTCCCGAATGATTATTTCAGGGAGTGTGTGTACCACGGTCTTCTTTGTGATGTATGGCTGCAAAGAAATCAATCGTGCTCCAATACCCTGATGATGCCTGATGGATTCTCATGGTGACGTGAAAATCACGGGAATACGCATGAACTCCTGGTTGCGCACGTCTGGGATGCAAGCATGTGGCGGAAGACTCATGGTCGCGCCCCAGATTCCTCAAGAGTGGTCGACCACTCGTCTTCCGCCTACCTGGTTTGTAGCCTCAAGGCTTGGACGATGTTGAAACCACGGTGGTGGATCTTCAATTCTTGACATGTTGGACGAAGGGCTTTGGATGGCTTTTGGAGTGGTTGCATAGGCTTCCCCAAACATTCTCTGATCCATTCAAGCAACTCCCAACCCCATAGGTGGCCCAAGCGTTCCAACATGATGAGTAGTGAAGGACTCATAAAGGTGCCAAGTGGGCAAGGAACGGATGTTTTCGATGAGCCCGAACTAGTTCAACACTTGTCTATCGGTCAAAGACTCATCAAATAATGCATTTAAACCCACATAATATGTATCATAAAGTATCACAATATTTAATATGGTGATCTCCCAAATTATTCAGATTCCAATCCCTTGCAAATCCACCTTCCCAGCCGACTGCCCCTCCCGAGCTGGACAACCCCGACTGCACCAGCTGCGGAATGATACGCCAAGACTTGGCTGCTGCCGATTGCTCACTGCTCGCAGGGCTCGTCACCTATGCGAACGACGTGACTGAGGGAAGAAGCGAAAAGAAACACACTTTATTTAGTAGGAATGGTTTGGAAAGCTTCGCCCCTGGACTACTTTCCCTGATTCGATGCTTTCACTGGATCCATTCCCGAAAGATTCCTTCATTTCCCACGAACTCGTCGCACCCGGAACCACGAACTCGAGGGAGATGAGCCCACACCCGAATCCGGTCAAAGCTCTGCCGCTTTGCCACTGAGCTCAACGGGCTGAGGTACCACTGGAAACACAATCTCTGGCAAAACCACGGCGTGGCTTTCTTCAAAGCTTCGGTGTGGGGTGTCCTGCATTTCTTACCAGTGGGCCGTGAGTTGATGGCTCAAAATGCTGACTCATAAATCGGAGGATTAGTCACTCTGCAAATGAATCAATTGATGTTTATTGTTTTCATAGTGTTTATGTGTTTCCATGTTTTTCCATGAACACCTGGATTTACAACAGCAAGCTCCGCAAGCTCTCTAAGCGTGCTCGCAGGCCCTTTGTGCAAGGATGCCTCGATGATCCAAAAGCTGTTCACCAAAGCAGGGTTGCCTCGGCCGTGACGGGGAGGAACGGTTGCCAGGTGTTGGATGGGTTGGAGTGAGGTAACTCACACGGATGGGTTGGAGAAGAGGAGATGGTTGAGACTTGGGGAGAGAGGCACCTGTTGAAAAATCCCTGCAGACCAAAGAACTTGGTCATGGAATGGCGTGATGAACGATTAGATTATAGATCCAAAATATAACCTCTGAAATAAACTTAACATACTGAAGACAGTATACCATTGGGTTCTGTAGGTGTCGATTTCCCTCGATCTCCTGGTGAGGTAGGTATTAACTGCATGTATATATAAATAGATCCAAAGGCTCCAAGCTTGCCAAGGCAAGTCCTTGATCAACGCACTTGATTTGTGGACAGTTGGGCTTTGTTGGGCTACTGCTTCAAACACTCTGAAAGCTATACACGTGCAGCTTACTTGCCTAGCGGGTCCGGAAATCCGATGTAGAATGATGTACAGTAGCTCATGCTTCCAAACACTCATTCCAGGACATGTGGACACGTGGACCGGTGCACAGCGCGAGCGGTGCAGGGCCAAGACTTCCAAACACTCCAAAAGGCCTATTCAGGGCCCATTGAGGGCGCCTGGTTCATTCTGCAGCTTCACATCCGGTGAACGTGACAGTTCTACCGACCAAGTTACGGGGGCTTAGTTTCTACCTTCGCTTCGCTTCGGGGCTGTTGGAGCCATACAGTTCGGGTCCTTGACAGCTCTGCCACAGGCACATGAAGATAAACTATTTGAACACAATCACAAGAATCTATTAATTATAGGCAGTACTGGAATTCAACAAAAATTACATAATATCCCAAACAGCATACAAGAACAGCCCTCAAACGGACTCGCTGCCCTGTAATCTCATCACCGGTTTCCCTGTCTTTTTGTTGACACCTGTCCAGTCGAAGAGCTCATAGGATTCTGCACCTCCAACTGGAAATGCAACTGGCCTGCAATCTCATCACCCTGCCAAGCCGGGCCGATCAGAAAGGACGGAAGCGACACAGCTGAAGCGCTCCATTTCAACCCCCCTGGCGGACCTGGCGAGGTGCGGGCCTGACCGGGCCTCCGGAAAGGCATTTGTGACAACGAAGTACTGCAAGTGAGTGCAACTGAACGACACCAACTAATTGAGGGCAAGTCACTTTAGCCATCTTTAGCCTTTAGGAGTCCTCGGGTCTTCTTGTTGTTGCTTTCCAGTTCTGGCTGCAAGAAAACGACTACCCGAATGGCTCGGTCCCTGACACTCACCACGGCTAGCAAGCTCAGGCCTAGTGTCGGATGCGTCTGATCTTAGCTGGTATGGTTTTTGCTAGGAAAGAGATGGCATTCTCAAGCCTCCTAGCTACCCCGACAGGCCTCCCGCGAAAAGACAGGAACAGAGAGTTCTTTCAATACAGGAAAAGCCCTCTCCGTCGAGTTCTGTCAATACAGGTGCAAAGGGTTGAAATTACCTGAGTTCATATCATGTGAGGGGACGTGGGGGGAATGTTAAACATGCTGCAACAGGTGCATCAACCCCCAACTTTGCAGTCAACCATGAAAACGGCGCTCTGCGGTTGAGTCCCACGGGTCATACGAGGTTCCGAACTCCGCCTGACCCAGCACCAGCACCAACAGCTCCTTGCTACAGCTCGGTCGTGCGGCGACGGCGCTGCCAGCCAGGATCCGGAAGGCATGGCCTTAGGTGGAGCGGGTGTCCAACCTTTCTCAACGAACACAGAAGATTCACAGAGTGAGCGCCGGTTCCAGCCAGGGCGTTGTTCTCTCACAGCCCTTTTTGAGGTTCCCAGGTTGGCTTTGAAAAGGAGACTGAGACATACTACCCTTTTCCCAGCAATCTGAGGTGCAGTTCTTCCATGTACCCAAGGTCAAGCATGAGTGAGATCGTGAGGTGTTAAAATATGTCTTAGGGATCATCTGGGCGATCTGGAGGGAGAGTGGAGAGAGTCCAAAGTCCACACAGTTCGGCACGGCATGGCAACGCCAAGCACAACCAGTTCATGTGGAGACCAGTTACATCTTTGGGGGGAGGAGTATGGACTCTTGTGGCTAGGGTGAAACCGGGTGAAACACCACTTTTCAGATCTCACAGGTGCCCAATTTCACCCTAGAATTGCAAGCACCGAATTTACATTTGCTTTGGATGTCATCCGCCGAGGCTTCTCTTTAGATGCGCCCGCCCCTGGGCGCGGCCGCCCCTCAATGGGGGATCCTGCGGGACTCGCGGGACGATCGAACCTGAAAACACAGGATCTTCCGATATTTCCCACATAGTTTTTTCATCCCCAAGCTAAACGCGGGATTATCAAAATAGCATGAACAAGGGCGCTGATCATCAGAGCATACGTTCCCCAAGCAATTTCAGATCACACCCCTTTTTCAGGGACGACTTGGCCTGCATCTTCGCCTGCTCGACCTGATGGGATTCTGCTGAGATACACGTGCTGGACGTCAGCTGCAAGTTGCACACCTGTTGCATCACATCTGAACCTGGCCGGTTCTTTCCCCGCACCATTTCGAATTTCTGCGTGCGCACCAGTTGACTGAGGTCTGTTGTGGTCGGTAGGTTCTCCCAAAATGTATTGAGAATAGACTTGGACTGTGTGCTTTGGGGATTCTGAAACTGCATCCGACCCGCCGATAGCCCTTTTGATTCTTTGTGATCATCCAAACATCAGCAAAAACGTGCAGTTGCGAAGAGGTCAAACAATGGTTGTCCCATCTCGTAAGGGAGCACGACATTACCCTCTGACGAACACATCACATGGAAATGATGATGGCATGGTCCCTTGGAAGATGATTTCCCTCTACCAACACCGGGGGGTTGTCCACTTTCATGTGATGTGTTCGAAGCCGAGTGTATGTTTCTCTTGCAAATCCAGCCCGGCTGGAAGAACCCTGCAACTGTGTCATCTGAAGGACTTCTGTGTGTGTGTTGCCTATGCCAATTCATGCCAATTCCATTTGGAAACCATGCTGGAGGACTGCTTTGCCGAGTAAACAGGCTGTTCAACACGTGCCCCAAAACATTATGTGACATCACCATGTCCAACAACTCTCCTGTGGAAGATGTCATGAGATTTCACCAACCTAGCACTTACCAACGGATGCCCAATGGAGACCTGTAAGTAGGGTAGTCTATTGGACACCCATTGGATGATCCTGGAAGGTGAGAAAGGGGAACGACTGGGGGAGAACGATTCACCGGACAGCACGGGAACGCTTCACCGCCGCGGGGCAATCTTCCTCTTCACAAAGTTGCAGACTGCCCACATCTCGATGACCCTGACCTTGGGACATTGAGGTCACTGAGACATACTGAGACACACTCTCTTGCTGTGCACCATGACATGATTCGAAGACGTGGGCGGCTTCCTCCGCATTCGAGGTGCAGCTGCCATCCCAAATCCTCCAACTGGCAGCTTCGGCCTCGCCAGGCCGTGGAACCCGAAGCGCAACACTTCGGCTGACGACGGGGGTGTTGTTGTTTGGACAGGGGGCCGCAAAGATGGGCCGTTTCTGCATCAAACCGAGTCGAACATATGTTTAACCAGGCATGCACCGCATGACGACTTGGTAAATGTTCAGATTGCATATTGCATATATTGCATCATTTAATATATCGCATTGGGGCAAACTGAACCTTCCAGCCAAGACCGCCATAGAGGGCCAACACCAATAACCTAAAACTGCCTTCAACAACGAAAAAGTCACTCTATATACATATCCATATACATCGATATACTATGATATACTGTGTATATATATATATATTATATCAAAATATATCGACTATTAAACAAATACAATGCTAAGCAATACTCAATGTGATTTAGGCATATATATATATATATTAATTAATACGCCGTTTTCACGACAGAGCAGAGAAACTCAGACAAAAAACAACTCTGTCGCTCGGAGAAATCGCGAGCCTCCGCCATTTCCCGCCACACGCGCAGCGCACAGGCTTGGAGTGACACGGCTCGCCCCACGGTGGTCGAACTGCGGCACGGTGAAGGCTCCACGGTCACCAGGGATTGAAACAGAATGGATCATGGAGGAGCACCAGTGAGGGGTGTTCCCACGTGGGTCACTGTTGGCTTTTTGGGGTCACTCTGGCATACCAATAAGAAGCCGCTGACCCTGACAAATGTGTGTTGGAAAGAACACCAAGCTTTGTTAGATGTTTTGAGTCGTTTGGGGTGCGGATCAAAACTGTTGACCCTCATATCAAGTAGACACACACACACACATCTCTCTCTCTCTCTTCACATGTAGTCGACAGCAATGTACATTTATTGATTCATTTAAATAAACAAACAATAACTGCATGCGCTGTACATTGACCACACATCCTTACAGCTCAAACTGTGCATGCTTTAACAAACTTCACAATCAAACAAATATCCACAAACACACACTACCAAGATCATCCTGTCTGCGTGTCCAATAGACTACCCTACGTAAACAGGTTTCCAGACAGGGCACCCGGACAGGAAGTGCTAGGTAGCTAAAAGAGTTTGTCCTCTTTTCTTCCAAACCAAGGACCCTAAGGAGCACGCTCTGCCCGGTTTCTGCGCTCCGGTGCCCCCGCCTTCCTCCCAAGACGCTGCCGGGCAGTTCGCCACAGTCGGGTGGACTGGTGAGGTCGAATCCACCGGGAGCACGGATCAACCTCGCCGGATAAGATCCGTGGGGGCCGTTCCGCGCCGGGAACGCCGCGGTGGAAGACATGGTTTAGGGTGTTTTTGGGGCAAAGAGGAGTCAGTTGGAATGGACACTGCTGTCTTTTGACTTGGATAGTCTTGTCTTATTTGTTCGGTCGGATCTCAAAGACCTATCGCCTCTCGACACCTTGTTCGCCAAGCGACACCTGGCTGTCCTGCCCCAAGTTAGTGGAGGATGCCAAGGAGAACCTCACTTGGCCAAAAACAACCTTGCGGCATAGCAAAAAACAAAACACTTGAACCTTGATGGTTGATACAAGCAAGTAACAAGCAGCCCTTGGAGCTCTGCACTGGACAACTAAGACGATCTTGACTCATGGATCTAAAAACCAAACAGAAGTCAAAAATGTCATCTCTGCCCAAGGGACTCCACCACAGCACTTTGACCTGCGCGCACGGATCTTGCAGGATGGAGAGTCAAGGTTGCATGTTGCAGGTTGAGTCTCTGAGTGGCGAAGACTTCGCGACACGGGGCTGAGACATGCGAATCGGGGGAGCTGAAACAGAAGCGAAGCGTGTCTTTGGGCCTTCCCCTCTCTACCTCAGCGCTGAACTGCTGGTTCAGCACTCGCCGACTAGCAACGTCCAGACAAAAGAAGACAAGAGGAAGTCTACTTGGGTGGAGGTTGCAAGCTGCTTTGATATCACAGTGGCAGGGTCAAACCATCACCCATAGAGTATTGTTCCACTTCCAAGTCATTGTCAACCCAGGCAACACACCTTTGTGGTCATGGTCAAGCTTTTTGTGGCCACAGAGGTCTCAAAAGTAGATCCCGTCACACCCGGATGAATCGTTCGGGTATTTGGATTTGAACAGTCCAACTCTCGACATCCATGTCCCAACTCTTAACATCCAAGTGATGCAAACAAAAACTCTCAACATCCGAGCTCATTCCCAACGAGTTTAAGACACATACATATATGCATCAGCCTAGTCAAACCCGGGATCCACTTGAAGCACGAAGAGCAGAATTCGTTCTTTTTTGATTTTGGGTGTTTTTTCCTGATGGCACCAAGCTGTGGCAGGGGCTTCCACACAGTTTCGATGAAACCAGTCACCCTTAGTGTGCAACAAGGGGTTCATGGCATTTGGATCGAAAGCAAGTTTTCTGTGAAAGCAGCCTGAGATAGCCTGAGACTACACACTCACTGTACAAATATGTATCAACAATCAACATATATTTAATGTATATACAATATTATATATACACAGTAATATGTAATACTAAGTATCTCTATAGTCGAACAATGAACCAAACAACGGGACATGACATAACACCTATTCTCATCTCCAGCTACCTGCACCGCACAAAAAAACACCCGCCCGCTGGCGCACGGGTGTTAAGCGCCCCACCAGCATGCTGCTCCGTGGCAGGACCGTTCACCTGACGAGTTCCCTTAAGCCAAAGCAAAAAGGATCAAACAGGTATGTGTTGAATCTGGCTTTTTCAAACAAGCAACATCTTCTGCAAAATCCTTCCTTCCGTCATCTGCAGTGAACCTGCAAGACGAAAAAAGAACCCAAGAGCCGCTCTCCCTCGACCACGCCTCCCAGGTGGAAAGCCGGAACGTGGGTCGGAAGCCTCAAAGATGGTGGAAGGACACAGCGTAGCGACGCTGGACATGTCCGGAGCTTCAAGTTCTTATAGACCACAAGCGACCACACATCCGGTTTCGGCAGATTGCGGGTCATAATTGGGGATTGAGTTGGAACAAAGTAGGGAATCATCCATGGAAGTTGGAGTTCACCACCTGACTGCTTGGTATTCGGAAGTTATGGTCCTCCACATCCATGATATACCATAATGAGGAAATTCCAGGGAGAGTATGGAAACACATAAAACCACTTCCATGTTGAACACCAGGGGCATGTCTGATAGTGGAGCCAAGCGCAAGGAGATTCTGTGTCTTCCAGTAGTCCACCTGGAGCCAAACACACATACCATGTCATGCCATCAGAACAAGGATTGACCCGACACTGGAGAATGGGATGCTCCCCTGGACAACATGGACGCCATACAAGGCCCTCCCCATATCAAACACCCAAGTATATACTGTAGGAACAATGACAAGGGCATTACCATTAGTAGCAAGAAGCTCCTAGGGCATCGCTATGTTCGTAGCTTCTTGTTACTAGTGGTAATGCCCTAGCGATGTAGCCGTGTAGCTTCTTGTTCCCCCAATCTACGAGGCTCACAAGTTAAGGTCAAAATTCACCAGGTGAGGCTTCTTGTCACAATCCCAAACGAAGCACACATGACCGGCATTCACCACCCGAACCACCAGTCCTTGAGGTCATACATTTAGGTTTATGAATGACACTCAGAAAACCCATCCCTGCAAGCTAAGAGCGACCTGACACCAAGTTCAGACCATCAATTCACCTGGTTTCCCACACTGCCTGGTGGCTCACCACTGCCTCCCCCGAGTTCACGTTCCGCGCCTGGAAAGCTACTCCGATCCAGTGCCACTTCCTCGCTACCTGCGATCCAGGTGTTTTCGGTGCAGTCTTGACTCTCCGAGGATGTCGGAGAGGAAGCTCCATTCACTAAGTAGGCACAAGAGGCACAAGGCGGGCGTGTGGGGACCTATGACGTGGGCCAGGCGCATCTACTTGGCAGGAATTCCTTCTGGTCTTTGTGTAGCTATGTGTCAGTCTTATGTCCAGGACAAAGACATACAACAAGACCTCTCTACTTCTGAATGAATTTGTTGGCAACCCTGCATGCTCCCCAAAGGGACTCCCACCAGATCCTCACCCACCTCCTCTGGCATCACGCGCGCGTTAGCGCCTGAAGCATCGCTGAAGGTCCACACGATCCACGGTGCCGTGGACGCCGGAATCTGCGCGGGATTGATCACCTGCCGCCGGAATTGGCCGTTTGCCGGTCCCTAGGCTCTCTGCAGCACAGTCTCTTGACACGGTTTGCAGCCAGGCTGTGGTTGCTCTTGACACGTATGAAGGCTGTTGAATGATAACTATAAGATTCAATAATTCTAACACTGTTAACCTCCATTACAACGTGTTCAAGGCTTCCCCCACAAACAATAGAGGGGTCGATTATATTATAATAATATACACATGAGGTTGATTCTGGTTGATTGATCTTGGAGATCCTCTCTGTTGATCCACAAAGGGAGTTTGGTATTTTTGTGGTTTGACATGGTTTGACAGGAGGTCTGTGGTGGAAAAATTGGCTGAAAAGGGTCTGGAGGCTTGAGAATATTGAGCTTTTCAAGCTTTTCTGCAAAAAGGTAGGTGAAGGGGACTCTGCAATATACGGTATTTCACATCTGCACTACCGGAGCAGGGATCTGGTATTGCAAGGTCTGTACTGTGACAGGAACACAACTGTTTGGGACTAGGGACATCTCATGAAATATTCTTTGCCGCAATGCCTAGATCTTCCAAAAACCACACACGCCCGATAATTTTCATGTGATAAAATGTGACGAGGCTTCTCTAACTAAGCAATCCATGCGCCCACGCACTTCCAAACTAAGCAAGGAAATGATCTGGTCCACCACTGGTGTCGTCAGCGGTGTCGTCAGCGGTTCAGCTGCTGAACCCGCTCGCTCGACGCAAACGTGCACATCGCGCCGGATGTCGGGGGGCCCTTCTGCGAATATAACCCCTCATCAATTAGTCAACCTATGAAACAACACAAAGCACCAAGTCGCAGGTCACCAACACACCCTCCAATGTCCCCACATAAGCTATGACATAGCACTCTCCTTCCAATCTGTACCTGCTTCTTCTCCAGTCCCAGAGTCCCAGAGTCCCCAGTCTTGCCTGCATAATGAGCTCGTAAAGCCGCCCTGGATCCAAGCGCCGTGCCACGAAGACGAACCTTGGGCGCTCGGCCGCGACGGGACCGGTCATCTGCACCGGTGGGGCCGCCGAAAGCCCCAAAAACGAGGTCCTTTCGAAGGGGGCTGAAACACCGTATACACCTTGATGTGATGCTTCAGGCAGATATTGGTCTCGCCAGTAGCCGATGAATCGCGTCCTGTTCACCGATTGGATGTTTGTTTGAGCTACCCAACATTACCCAACACTTTTAACGACACAAAGCCACGAACCAAGCTAATAGGGAAGTTGCATAACGAAAAACACTGGCATTCTTGCAATTGGGTCGTTCACAGCGCCGGTAGCTCAAACAAACAGCACCGGTGTCCGCGACCCGAGCCGCAACGACGCCACAGCACCGGCTGTGGCTCCCAACGACAGGCTCGTCACACCTGAGCGACTGAGATGACCGGTCACCAGGTCGGTGTCTGATCGGTGCTGATCGGGTCTGATCTCTCAGTCCAAACTGGAAATAAGAATCTGTATTTTACAGGATCAGCTCTAATAGTACTAACTACCTAACTAACCCTGCTAGTCCGGTAAGCGCTACCTTTTGCTCTACCTTGAGAGTCAACGCTACGGGGTCCATGGGGATGAGGTGAATTTCAACACCCCCCTTTACAAGGAGCTACCCGTAGGGAAAATCTCGGGGAGGATCAAATTCTAGCGACGAAGGAATCATATTAGAAGTCCCTCATCAAGCTCGTGCATGCACTATACAAGGAGAACGTAGCTACCCTAATGTACAGTTTTCGCCTCACTCGGCATGTGGTTAAACATGCTAGGCCCAGGTTAGTGTTAAGCATTGATTAAAAGTTCACTCTCCGACTATGGCAATCCTGTTATGGATGCATTGGGAAGTGAGACAATGAAGTGAAACATCATCTCACAGCGCGTCAGAAGGTGATCTTTATCTCAACACTCATAAGCTGCAAGGCATACCATTTATGGTAGCTATTCAACATCTGCTTAAAGAAATTGTATTCCAAAACGCTCCGTCTCGTCATGCCATCCCTGCCTCAACCACTCCCACAATTCCATGTGATTGGGCCAATAGTTCTCGCCCCATGGGTCATCGCGTTGCCATTGTACTCCAGGAAAATCAAAGGGTTCCAATGGTCGATCAATAGTTCCACGAATGCTGGAAGTCGGCGGCCCAGTTAAGGGTGCATTATGTGACGATGATGCCGAAGCGGATGAAGTTCCGGGTGGCAATGGCGGCGGTGGCACGTTTTGTACATTCCATTGCTGTGGAGCATAAGGTCCTCCTCGAACACTCACCTGCTGCTTATCCTTGCCCTTTCCTTTTACGGAAGGTTGCAACCGACTGTAAAGGTCTGTAAGCGGCGGCGGCTTCGGCGTGAGATTGAAATCTGTCGGCCTTGTATGTACCGGAATGCCACTGGCTGTATTGGGTGGCACTTTCGGTGGAGGAACCTTTGGAGGAGGCACCTTTGTTGGTGGGACCTTCGGAGGTGAAGGTTTTGCTGGACGTGGTTTTGAAGCCGGGGATAAGCCGGCCGTTGGTGCATCATTTGGTGCAGGTGGTGGAGGTGGTGATGCTGGGGCCTCTTTCACCGGTACTGACGGTGGATTGGAAGGAGGCTTTGGGATTGACGGTTTTGCAGGAGTGGATGGTGGAGTGCGAAGTGGAGGACCCAAAAGGTCATTGGGAATGTTGCCACGCTTAGGTGGAAGGTCTTCACGGCTGCGAGATATTGCACGGGCAACTGAACCACGTGGCGTCCCTTTTGCGGGAGCAGTGGAACCTGACGCAGAAGAACTGCCTTGCCCTTTGCCCTTACCGGCAACATCTCCTCGCACACTGGCATCCCGTTTATGGGAGTCTCCTTTGCCTGATACTTGTCCTTGAGCAGGAGGTGCATTCATACGGAATACCGACGAGGTATGCGTCCCTGTTACGGGAGCTGGCGGCTGAGGCACGCCTGGCGGTGGAGTCCGGTTGTCAACCCAAGTTGCAATACGACCAGATTGATCTCGGTCTTCTTTCCTCCTCCACTGCAGCCTCGGTCGTTTGTCTGCATCTCCAATAGTCTCCATATACATCTGCGATCGCTTCCGCGTCAACGGGGGCCTTGTTACAGGTCCTTGAGGAGATGGGGATCCACGCTGTCCAAACTCCAACAAAAGTTCTTCCAACCTTCTGACTTCGTCAGATGACATGTCCTGGCCACAATCGGCAAACTTGGGATAAGGCGTGGCCATGCGCTGTTCGATGTTCATGAAGCCCATCTGTGAAACTGGCTGTCCACGATCGCGTCCCTGCATATTTGCAGACTGTTGCGCGTTTCTCTGATATTGAATGTTTGCATAACTTTCATTCTGCTCTGCAAACTCACTCAAAATCTTGTAAATGCCTGTCGTGTCTCCACGAGGAATACGAATTGAATGAATATCGCCATAGACGTCCGTCGTGGGGATAAAGCCCTGGGTCTTGATCTCATCTCGGCTATCGCCAATTACGGCGGCGTATTGTCGGAGTGACATAAACTCTCGGCGATAACTGATCAGAAAGTTCTCGTCGACGCCTTGCTTGAAACAGGTATGTAGGTTGTCAACACCGCATCGAATATACGCGAGCTTGGCGAGGTCAACCCTGTCCAGTCGATCCAAATCACTGACAACCGACTTCCCTTTTGATCTCTGCTTCGCTGATCTCGTGGGTGCCGGTAATTGCAGTGACGCAAACAAGTCTTCTTGCGCTGCATCAAACGCTGTGCATCCTTCTCCGGTTAAGGAGGTGGCGAAGACGTCGTCGCGGTTGAATCGATCGAATACATTCTCATACCCTGATTTCAATGCTTTGCGAAGGCGACTGCGAGCTGCAAGAATAATCTGACTGTCAACTGACGGGCTGCCACGAGCTGGAGGTCGTCCAGACTGTAGGTCCTGCGCGGCAATGCTGTCAAGCATGCTTGTTGCGGTCATGTTCTTGGGCACGCCCCCCTGCTCTTGTAGCACCTTTGCACGCCTCATCTGAAGTCGCATAAACTTTGAAATCGGTCCATCTGTTGTATTGCTCTGAAATACTACTCCGCATCGATGACAAGATGTCATTCCTGCTAAGGAAAGTGTCGTACATTTATCGCAGCTGAAAGTTCGAAGATGTAGAAAATATCCACTCTCGATCTGTGGTACAGCTGTATTGCGATTTGCCTCCATCTCTTCCTTCTTTGCGGCACTGCTGCTAGCTGTGCGTTCTTCGGGTGTGGCGTCGCTTGTACCTTCCAAAATGGTGCGTACTTCCGACACTTTTCCCGGGACCAATGTCACATCATCTTGCGGAACACCGACCTCAATGTTCGAAGGATCCAATGCCTGCGGCCTCGAATAGAAAACTTCCGGCTCCGCATTTGCGCGGGCTCGAGTTGCAAATAGAATACACGTATTCGGAACGTGATGGCTGGTAATCACCGCGCCAGAATTTGTGAGGAAAAGATCAACTCCTGCTTCAATCACATCCGGTGTTGAAAAACAAATCTCCACTGGTCGATCAGCACGAACACCAGATATCGCCTTCTGGTTTCCCAGAGGTTGTGTTGAAAAGAAGGAATTGCCTTTGCTTTTCGGTCCACCGGCTCCACCGCCGGGAATGAGCCCGCTCGCAATAATGGATCGCGCAGCACCTTCATGCGTTCGGTGGTAAAGCCGAGGTGGTATATCGCGGTTCCCGTGCGCTGTCAAACGAGCATTGTACCTGTGTACATGGTCAGGACGGCAGTAGATTAGTACTGCTAGCACTTCATTTGATCGCGTCTCGAGAACGTCGTCAGTGTGGCCTTGTCCACATCGGATCTTGACGGGGGCGGCGAAAAGTTCGAGCTGCTCGTTCACACGAGAGTCGTACACGCATTGAAATTCGAAACGATCTTTGTTGTCATAAATAGCCATCGAAATCAACTCAAAAACATTCATAGAATCAGCATAATCAGGGAATTTGGCCTTCGCCAAATCTAGTAGTTTGTAAATTGGCAAATAACACGCCGGATCATAAATACTGACGTCTGGGACGTGTCCACGAAGAAGACCAGAAATACCGCGACGAACATGATGTGGCCAGGAGCAGCACCACTCCCAAGGCCCATGATGATAATCCTCATATACATAATAATACCTATGGCCAGTAACGTGGTACAGCACGTACTGCTTGGCGTCGCGGCCCAGCTCATCCTCGAGGAGTTGGATGTTGCCATTCCCGATGGCCTTGAGTAGGTGATCCGGGTAAGGATACCTTCCGAGAACCTCTTCAACCTCGACCTGCATATTTTTGTACTCGGGGTTAGGCTTCGTCTCGCGAACAAGAACGCCCTTCCCTTTTCCAGAAAATTTCAAGTCGGGGTTGTCGTTGTTCTCAGGTGCAAGAAAGCTCCCCGTTACGGGAGCGACCGAAGGGGTGCCTTGTCCCTGCCCTTTGCCTCGCAATCGCGGCAATGGTGGTCTCGGGTCATATGAAGACGCTTGACCCTCTGCGGGTTGGTCCGCGTCCGTAGGGATCATAGGAACATCTCCGGTTGCACCTTCTTCAACAGTCGTTTCATCATCAGCCAAAACATCAAGAACCTCGGCCTCGATCTTCGCCATCTGTGGATCAGGTTCTGGTGCTGTCGGCAAGGCATTTACGCCTGCGATACCAGTATCAGGCCCAGGTACTTCGTCGGTTGCGCCTGTATAGCTATCGGGCATCTCAACGTCCGCGTCGGTTTCCTCAACCTTCGGCTCGACTTTTACGTCGGCTGTCGCAACGTCATCCATCGGCTCGTCCAATGCGGGCTGTTCCTCCGGTAGCTCAATAACAGGTACAACATTGACAAACTGCAACACATCTTGAGGATCTTCGCCTTCCAGGTTAACGGAGGCCTTGAGCTCTTCGACTGACACGTCATTCGTCTCAAAGGGGCTGTACGCTTGTACTTCCTCGACAGTAAACTGCCTGCTCTTCCCCAACGTCTGTTGCATTCGCGCGTTTCGCTGTTCGACAAATTCATTGATAAGTTGTAAATACGATTCCGGTATTTTGACTGTCGCTGAGGAATCCCAACTGTATTTAAATCTTCTCACCCTGTTGAGCGCGGCAATTCCCTCTCGGGAAGCTTCAACGACGTTCACATGGTACGACAATTTGACAATCGAGGTCACATAGTTCACGAAGCGATCGATGTTCTCCTGCGTCTTTCGCATATGCCATTGATCAACTTTATCGGATTGGTAAACCAGATTGTCAGGCTGGAATCGGTGTATGCCGAGACTCTCAATGATGTCGTTGATTTCTGCCCAGAAAATATCGACAAACGAAGGCAACTCAAAAAGATAAGAAGATATTCCACATATACAGCAGAGCTCGTCGGAGATCTCCTTGCATTCGGCTAACAGT